CAGAACCAGAACCCAGACCAGGATCTGCTCCAGAACCAGAACCCAGACCAGGATCTGCTCCAGAACCCAGACCAGGATCTGCTCCAGAACCCAGACCAGGATCTGCTCCAGAACTTGTTTTTAAACCAAATCTCACCTCAAATTTTTGATCTTTAGTTGGAAAACCAAAGTATTTCTCAGAGCAGGTCGATCCTTTAGTAAAACACAAATTTACACAGATTTTAATGTTTGTTATGATTTATATTAAAAATGTTTGATGATTAAATTATTTGACGTTATTTTTACCGTAAAGTCTCCAGTTGGTAATAGGAGCGACTGCGACGCCACATTGAAACATGGAGCTGTGAGAGAGGAGCAGCAGGGTGGAGAGGAAACCTCCGTACGCCTGAAACAGAAGAATTTAATATTTTTAATTATTAAACWTCAGATTTAAACTTTTAAATGTTTTTATCATCTTTCTTACTTTTCCATAAACTCCCACTCTGGTTCTGTCCACGAACGGCAGCTCGACCAGGTGCCTGGAAACAAAAACRACCTGAAGCGTTTCAGACTGAGGAGAAAACCGTCAGAACAGAGGAGGCAGGGGGCGGGGCCAAAAACAAACACGTTTTAAYATTTTGCTACATTTAGCTTTCAGCTACTGTAATTTGTAGCTTCTCTTTGATAACTTCAGATTTTAGCTACTGTACTGCCACTTTTAGCAGGTTTTTACCAGTTTCAGTGAAAATTTTGTTACTATTGTGGTTTGTTTTTACTTTCTTCTTCTTCTACTTTTAGGTCGTAGCTACTGCTCTGCTACTTCAGCTRGTTTTTACTACTTTTAGATAGCATTAARCAKTAAGMTTTTAGCTAGCATTYTGCTACAATTTCTTTTTKTTGCTTTTAGCTTTTYGTTTAATATTTTGCTACTTTTAGCTTTGAGCTAACATTCTGTAATTTGTAACAGCTAGATAGCCATTTGATCTTTTTAGCTTTCAGTTAATGTACAGCTACTTAGCAGCTATTTTTAGAAAACATTTTGGTGCTATATTTGGCTTGTCTTTTAGTTCAGGTTTTAGTTACTCTACTGCTATTTTTAGCTAGTTTGTGCTAAATGTTAGCATAGCATAGGATTCTACAGCTTGTTTTTACAATTCTGCTTCTTCTATCTTTATACTTAGCAATTATCYTCTTTTAGCTTTTAGCTATTGTTTTGCTTTTCAGGCTTCTTTCAGGTTACTTTCAGCTACCATACTGCAATTATAAGCCAGTTTGTGCTAAATGTAGCTAGCATTCTGCTTSTTTTAGCTTTGTATTAGCAATTTTCTATGTTTAGCTTCTGTTTTCTTAGCTTTTAGCTACTTTTAGCTTTCAGCTACATACTACAATTTTTAGATAGTCTGWGCTAAATATTTACCCAGCATTCTGCCATTTTTTGCTTTTTATTCAACTGTTTCCTGTTTTTAAATTTCAGCTACCGTACTGCAATTCTAGTCTCTAGCTACCATTCTGCTACTTTTAGTTAGCCTTTAGCTACTTAGTGATTATGGATTGTCCAAACATTACACAGATCTCCCAGTTTGAGGGTAGATGGACAGATGTCTTTGGGGGTCCTGATGCAGGTAAACATCTGAAGGTGTTGACCTCAGCTTAGCCCCGCCCACTCCACATACCTGATTTAAAGTTTTGAAACTCTAAACATGTCGTAGAGACCATCTCAGACCTCAGACCTCAGACTTCTGACCTCAGACCCCAGACCTCAGACCCCAGACCTCTGACCTCAGACCCCAGACCTCAGACCCCAGACCTCTGACCCCAGACCTCTGACCCCAGACCTCAGACTTCTGACCTCTGACCCCAGACCTCAGACTTCTGACCTCAGACCCCAGACCTCAGACCACTGACCTCAGACCCCAGACCTCTGACCCCAGACCTCTGACCCCAGACCTCTGACCCCAGACCTCAGACCCCTGACCACCTCAGACCTCAGACCCCAGACCTCAGACTTCTGACCTCAGACCTCAGACCCCAGACCTCAGACCACAGACCTCTGACCTCAGACCACTGACCTCAGACCCCAGACCTCTGACCCCAGACCTCAGACCTCTGACCCCTGACCTCAGACCTCTGACCCCTGACCTCTGACCCCAGACCTCAGACCCCAGACCTCTGAAATCTGACCCCAGACCTCTGACCCCAGACCTCTGACCTCAGACCCCTGACCTCAGACCTCTGACCCCTGACCTCTGACCCCAGACCTCAGACCCCAGACCTCTGAAATCTGACCCCAGACCTCTGACCCCAGACCTCTGACCTCAGACCCC